ATGTTAAACCAGCCTTGAATCCCTGGGGTTCACAACCTACTTGATTGTAATGAATGATTTTTTCAATGTGTAGTTGTAAGCTATTGACTAGGATTTTATTGAGAACTTTTGCATCTATATTCATTAGTGAAATTGGTCTAAAATTCTCCTTTATACTTGGGTCTTTTCCTGGTTTGGTATCAGGGTGATGTTTGCTTTGTAGAACATGTTGGGGAAGGTTCCTTCCTCCTCAGTTTTTTGGAATAATTTCTGCAGTATGAGTATAAGCTCTTTTTTGAAGGTTTGATAGAATTCTAGTGTGGAGCCGTCTGGACCAAGGCATTTTTTTTTGTTGGGAGATTTTTTACTGTTTCTTCTATCTCGTTTCTTAAAATTAGTCTGTTCAAGAGATCTATTTCTCCTTGATTAAGTCTAAGGGGTGGGGGGTCCAATTCTAGGTGTTGATCCATTTCCTCCACATTGTCAAATTTCAGGGCATAGAGTTTCTTACTGTACCAGACTTGATCTCTTGTATCTCTATGAAATCTGTTATTATTTCCCCTTTACCATTTCTGAGTGAGGTTATTAGAATTTTTACTTTTCTGTTTCTAGTTAGTCTGACCAAAGGTTTGTTGACTTAATTATTTTGTAAAACCAACTTTTGTTAATTTTTGGAAGGATTCTTTTGTTTTCAACTTTATTAATCTCTGATTTAATTTTGGTTATATCTTTTCTTCTACTGGCTTTGGGATTACATTGTTCTTCTTTTTCTAATTCCATAAGTTGGTTCATGAGTCTGTAGATGTGCTCTTTCTGTTTATCAAATGTAGGCATCTAATGTGATAAATTTCCCTCTTAGACAGCTTTGATGTATATCACAGGTTTTGGTAACTTGTGTCTTCATTGTTGTTATGTTTAAGGAATTTAACAATTTCCGTTCTAATCACTTCCTGAACCAAATTATCATTTAGCATAAGGTTGTCTTTGTGTGGGTACGAATGTTTTTGTTGGAGTTGAGTTCCACCTTTATTGCCTTGTGGTCTTAGAAGATACAAGATACGGCTCGGTGCCTGTAGCTCAACTGGCTAAGGTGCCAGCCACGTACACCTAAGGTTCGAATCCCCAGCCCGGACCCACCCCAAACAACAATGAAGGCTGCAACCAAAAAATAGCCGGGCGTTGTGGCGGGCGCCTGTGGTCCCAGCTACTTGGGAGGCTAAGGCAGGAGACTCACTTAAGCCCAGGAGTTGGAGGTTGCTGTGAGCTGTAATGCCACGGCACTCTGCCTAGGGGGACAGCTTGAGGCTCTGTCTCAAAAAAAAAAAGAAGATACAAGATAAAATTTCTAAACTTTTCATTTTTGCTGAGGTTTGATTTGTATCCTAATTTGTATCGTAGGGTGTGATCTATTTTGGAGTATGTACCATAAGCTGATGAGGAAAATGTATATTCTTTAGCTTTGACATGATGTGTCTGTGTATGTCTATTAATTCCATTTGTTTTGGGGTCACATTAAGTCCTTTGTATCTTTGTTTAGTTTCTGTTTAGACAATCTATCTAGTTCTGTCAGAAGGTGGTAAAGTCCCCATCTATGATGATGTTATGGGATATCATGTTGCTCAGACCCATCAAATTCTGTTTCATAAATCTGGAAGCATTTAAGTTGGATGCATAGATATTTAAAATTGAAATGTCTTCTTGTTGTATTGTTCCTTGACCAGTATAAAGTGTCCATCTTTATCTTTCTTAACTTTAATTGCTTTACATTTGCTTTTATCTGAAAAGAAGATTGCAACCCCTCTTTTCTTCTGATTTCCATTTCTTTCAAATGCTGTTTTCCATCCCTTAACCCTGAGTCTTGATGTGTCCTTCAAGGCTAGGTGTGTCTCCTAAAGACAGCATATGGATGGCTTCTGCTTTTTTATCTAATCAGCCAGCCTGTGCCTCTTCAGTGGTGAATTCAGTCCATTTACATTTATTGAGAGAATTGATAAGTGTGGTGAAGCTCTATTCATCTTTTTTGTGAAAGTCCATTGTGTAGTTTTATCCTTTGCACCATTGTGGAAGCTAAGTTTTGACCTTTAGCTTCTGGGTGTTTACTTTGCTGGTGGTCCATTGAGGTGGTCAGTGTTGAAAATAGATCTATGTATTTCCTGTAAAGCTAGTCTTGTTGTGGAGAATTTCCTCAGTCAGTGCTTGCATATCCACAAAAGATTTGATTACTCCATCCATTTTGAAGCTTAGTTTAGCAGGATACAGAATTCTGGGCTAAAAATTGTTTTGTTTAAGAATGTTGATGGTAGATGACCATGCTTTTTTGGCTTGGAAGGTTTTAGTTGAAAAGTCTACTGTCATCCTATTGGCTCTGTGTCTGGCTGCTTGCAGAATTTTTTCTTTTAGCTTGACTTTGGACAGATTCATTACAATGTGTCTTGGAGAGGTTCTATTTGCCTTCAGATGACCGGAGATTCGATATCCATCTGAAATGAGTGTGTCAGGGTCTTTAGTAAAACATGGAAATTTTTAATTTATGATAGTCTCTAGTAGGGCTTCCTTTAGAACAATCTTTTTCCCCTTTAGGAATCCCTATTATTCATGCATTTGAATGCTTTATCGAGTCTCATAGTTCTCTAAGTGCCTATTCAACTTTCTCTCTCTTCTTTTCTGCTTCTTTAACCATCTGGATTAACTGCAAAACTTTATCCTCTAGCTCTGAGATTCCTTCTTCTCCATGGTCTAACCTATTTTTGATACTTTCCAGAGCATTTTTACATTCCCCGATTATCTCTTTTATTTCCTTAACTCCACCATATCCTTTCCATATTCTACATATCTTTTGTCTGACTTTTGGCTCTGTCTCTTCGTTTTCTCATTTACTCCTTTTATTGTCTTTTTTTTGAGACAGAGCCTCACTTTGTTGCCCCCTGGTAGAAACTGGCATCACAGCTCACATCAACCTCAAACTCTTGGGCTTAAGCAATTCTCTTGCCTCAGCTTCCCAAGTAGCTGGGACTACAGGCACCCAGCACAATGCCTGGCTATTTTTTGAGACAAGGTATTGCTCTAGATTAGGGTGGTCTCAAATCTGTGAGCTCAGGCAATCCACCCACCTTGGCCTCCAAGAGTGCTAGGATTACAGGCATGAGCCACTGTGCCCAGACCCTTTTATTTTCATCCATATTTTAAATTCCCTTTCTGTCAAGTCTATTAATTCATTGTAGATGGAGTCTTCTGCAGCAGCTGCCTCATGGTCCCTTGGGTGAGTTTTTTTCATGTTGCCTGAATTTTTCTGTTGTTTTCTCTTCATGTGTTCTTTCTTCTTGTTCACCTCCTTGTCCTCCTTTTTCCTTTTCATTGCTCCCTTTGTTTCAAAGAGAAGTCCTTGCACTTGATGACAGTATGTTGCAATATGTCGGCAGGACACCTGGTGGGGCTGTGGTTTTTAGGAGACAGAGAACACAGCCAGCAACTTCTATGGTCTTTAGTCCAAACTTAGTTGCCTTCGGTGATTGCCTGATTGTTTCCTCAGCATTCAGACCCTGCCAGGTTGGAATCTTAAAGCTCATAAGAATCCTTCAGGGGCAAATCTCACAGTGCCCCCTGACTCAAGGTCCTGTGGGGTTTGGGAGTCCCTCAGCCTGTCCCAAGAGTGGAGTTCTGATTCTGGCAGGCAGAATTAAGATGGCCATGCTTTAGACCCCTGCTAAGACCTTCTCAGTACCTTCCCACAATGGCAGTCCCCTGGCTGCCCAGACTTTCTCTGTATGGCTGCCTGGCCAGCCACTAAACCTATGGAAAATCCACTCCAACTGGCATTCAAATCTGGTTGCTTGTGGAGAGTGGACTGTGAGACAGCAGAGTCCTCACAGCCTGGGGAACATTCAGAGAATAAACCCCCAACTGCTTCTTGTCCATTCCCGAAATAGCCATTTTCCTTTCTTCATGCTCCCTCTGCCAGAAGTCATGTAGTCCTTTCTTTCTATAGTTATCTATGCAGAGATCCTTGAGATTTCTCCCTTCTTTCTCCTTGCCATATGTTAAAGAAGTTGAGTAGAAACCATTAACAAATGATTTGCCTTTGTTAATGTTATTTACATTTTTCTATTGTACTGTAAGATCAAAACTATGTCTTTTTTTATTCTATTTCCCCATTTTGTCTATGCTACTTCCCCCTGGACAACGTTGTAGAGATACTATAAAATAAAGCTGATTTTGTCCTTTGGGGCTGGCTGTAGCCATCAGCTCAGTCAGTCCTTCCAGTCCCATCCTTTATTTCCATGTCTTCTCTTATACTATATTTTCCTCATTCCCCACCAATTCCACTCTGGTTTGCTCCCCTTCGCTGCGCTGGTTCACAACAGTTGCTATATACTGTTTGAGTCTGCCCCTTATTACAAGCTTGCCACTCAATGCGCAGCTTCCCCCAACAACTGAAAACTCCAGAAAGGCTTCCTCCTGTTCTGGAGGAAGAATTAGGAAATTAGATGAATTAAGCAAATGATTACAACTGGTTGGGATCATTAGCCAAGGGGGGTTGGGCAGCCAAGTGATCTCTCCTTTCTGTGGGCAGCCAAGTGATCCCAACCAGTTGTAATAATTTGCCTAATTCATCTGATTTGCCTAATTCATCTAATTCATCCACTGCTCCATATCATACACTGTGTCTAGCTCACCACCTCCTCATAGTGCTCCCTGAGCTATGACTCTGGGTAATGTCCCCATGCCAGGTATGGCTGGATTTTCTGTTTTTCCCCAGTTGCTCTAGAAGAGCTCACCTGAACAATTCTTCTGGTCCACCATCTTGCTCCACCCCTATATTTAAATCTTTAACCCATTTTCAGCTGAGTTTGTGGAATGGTATAAGATAAGGTCCAATGTCACTCTTTCACATATAGCTATCTGCTTTTAACACCATTTATTGAAGAGACTGTCCTTTCCCTACTGTGTGTTGATGACATTTTTATTGAAAATCAGTATTTCATAAATATGTGGATTTATTTCTGGGCTTTCTTTTTTTTAACTTAAATATGGAATGCCTCACAAATTTGCATGTCATTCTTGCTCAGCGGCCATGCTAATCTTCTATGCATCATTCTAATTTTAGTATATGGGCCACCAAAATGAACACCATTTCTGGACTTTCTATACTGTCCCAGTGGTTGATAGGTCAGGTTTCACACCAGTACCATATTTTCATTACTCTAGCATTGTTGTATATTTTAATGTCAGGTAGTGTGATTCTTCCAGCTTTGTTCTTTGTGCTAAAGATTGCTTTTGAAAGTCTTTTGTGGTTCCATACAAATTTGGAACCACCAAATTTGTTTTGTTGTTGTTTTTTTTTTTAATTATGTGAAGAATGATATTGGAATTTTGATAAGGATTGCATTGAATCTACAGATCACTTTTGGCAGTATGGCCATTTTAGCAATTAAGGTTAGAAAATTAAGCAATTAAGATTAGAATTAAAAGATTAAATCTTCTAATCTATGAACATGGGATATCTTAATTTGTGTTTTCTTCAGTTTGTTACATCAGTGTTTTTGATACATAATATTTTATATATTTATGGGATACATGTGATATTTTGTTCCATGTATGGAATGCAGAATGTACTAAGGGTATTTAGGATGTTTATCACCTTGAGTATTTATCATTTCTATGTGTTGGGAACATTTTATGTTCTCCTAGCTACTTTGAAACATACAATACATTATTGCTGGCCACAGTCACCTTATTCTGCTATCAAACGTTCAATTTTACTCTACCTAACTTTGTGTTTATACCCAATGACAACCTATCTACAACCCCCAAACATCCACACACACTTCCCAGCCTTTGGTATCTATATTCTACACTCTGCATCCATGAGATCAACTTTTTTAGCTCCCACATATGAGTGAAAATATGCAAAGTTTATCTTACTGTATTTAGTTTATTTCACTTAACATAATGACTTCTAGTTTCACACATCTAGCTGCAAATGACATGGTTTCATCCTTTTGTAAGGCCTAATAGTATTCAATTATGTATATATGCCACATTTTCTTTATCTATTCATCCACTGATGGATATTTAGGTTGATTTCATATTATTGCCATGGTGAATAGTATGCCCTATGGAGGTACAAGAAACTCTTTGCTATACAGATCTATTTTCTTTTGAATAAGTATTTAATAGTGGAATTGCTGGATCATATGGTAGTTATAGTTTTAATTTGTTCAGAAATCTCCATACTATTTTCCATAGTGGCTATACTAATTTACATTCCTACCACCAATGTACATGCATATAAGAGTCCCCTTTCCTCTGCATCTTCACCAACATCTGTGTGATAATAGCCATTCTGACTGAGGTAAGATGTATCTCATTGTGGGTTTGATTTGCATTTGCCTGATGATGAGGGATATTGAATACTTTTTCAAATACCTATTGGCCATTTGCATATCTTCTTTTGAGAAATATCTATTTATGTCCTTGGCTCACTTTTAACATGATTATTTGGGGTTTTTCCCTATTGTGGTCTTGTTTGAGTCCCTAGTATATACTGGATTATATCCATTGTTGGGTAACAGTTTACAAATATATTCTGCCTTTCAACAGGTTGTTTTTTTACTTTGTTGATTGTTTCTGTTGCTGTGCAGAACTTTTTGATTTAATATAGTTCCATTTGTCTATTTTTGGTTTTGTAGTCTGTACTCTTAAGGTCTTAGCAATGAAATCTTTATCTAATTACCCAAAGTGTTTTCCTTATGTTTTCCTCTAGTAGTTTTATAGTTTGGGATTTCATGTATAAGTCTTTAATATATCCTGAGATGATTTTTGTATATGAGGAGATATGGGTCCAGTTTCATTCTTCTGTATATGGATGTCCACTTTTCCCAATACCATTTATTGAGGAGGGTGTCCTTTCCCCACTGTATGTTCTTGCCACCTTGTTAAATATCAGTTGAATGTGAATACATGGATTTATTTCTAGATTTTCTATTCTGTTCCATTGGTCTAAATGTCTGTTTATATCATGCTATTTGGGTTATTATAGCCTTCTAATATATTTTGAAGTCAGGTAGTGTGGTATTTCCTGCTTTGTACCTTTTGCTCAGGTTTGCTTTAGGTAATAAGCTCTTTTTTGGTTCCATACAAGTTTTAGGATTTCTTTTTTCTATTTTAGTGAAAAATGATGTCAGTATTTTATTTTTGGTTCAGGTTTTGGTTCTTTTTCTGAGACAGAGTCTCACTCTGTTGCCATGGGTAGGATGCCATGATGTCATAGCTCATAGCAACCTCAAACTCTTGGGCTCAACCAATCCTCTTGCTTCAGCCTCCCAAGTAGCTAGGACTACAGGAGCCAGCCACATTGCCCAGCTAGTTTTTATATTTTCAGTAGAGATGAAGTCTCACTCTTGCTCAGACTGGTCTTGAACTCCTGAGCTCAAGCAATCCACCTGCCTCAGCCTCCCAGAGTGCTACGATTACAGAAGTGAGATACTGGATCATGGTAATGCTATTTTGATGGGAATTACACTGAATCTGTAGATTACTTGAGCAGTATGTTCAGTCTAACAATATTAATTCTTCTAATCCATGAGCATTAGATGTCTTTCTATTTGTTTGCATTCACTTTAATTTCTTTCATTAGCATTTTATAGTTTTCCTTGTAGAGATATTTCACATCTTTGTTTAAATTTATTTCTCTGTATTTAACATAATTTTGTAGATTTTTTTTTTTAAGAGACAGTCTCACTTTATTGCCCTTGGTAGAGTACCGTGGCATCACAGCTCACAGCAACCTCCAACTCCTGGGCTTAAGTGATTCTCTTGCCTCAGCCTCCCAAGTAGCTGGAACTACAGGCACCCGCCACAACGCCTGGCTATTTTTTTGTTGCAGTTTGGCCAGGGCCAGGTTTGAACCTGCCACCCTCAGTATATGGGGCCAGCACCCTACTCACTGAGCCACAGGTGCTGCCCTTTTGTAGCTATTTTTACCCAGAATTTTCTCAAACTCCTGAACTCCAATAATCTTCCTGCCTCAGCCTCCCAAGTAACTGAAATTATAGGAACATGCCACCATACCAGGCTTTTTTTTTTTTTTTTTTTTTTTTGAATGACAGTTTCTCAATGTGCCGCTCAGGTTTTATACAATTTAGTTTCAACTTTTGTATGTTTTATGTTATTAGTTAGCAGATTTTTGTTTCAGCTTAAAGAACTTCCACTAGCAATTCCTGTAAGGCAGGCTTTAGATATTGATCTCCCTTAGTTTTTCTTTGTTTAGGAACATTTTTATTTCTCCCTCATTTTTGAAAGACAGCTTTCTTGCATAAAGTATTCTTGATTGGCAGGATTTTTTTTTTCATTTACCTCTTTATTATCCCACTCTTTCTTGGCCAGCAGGATTTCTGCTGAGAAATCTGCTGATAGCCATATTGGGACTCCCTTAAATATGATGAGTCTCTTTTCCTCATGGCTTTCAGAATTCTTTCCTTGTTGAATTTTGATGGATTGATTATACGTCTTGGTGAACTCCTCTTTGGGTTGAATTTTATTGGAGGTATCTGGGCTTGTACCTTGATCTTGGCATCTTTCCCCAGATCTCAGAAATTTTCAGCCATTATTTCTTTAAACATGTTTTCTGGACCTCTCTCTCTCTTCTCCTGCTGGTATTTACATTATACAAATGTTAGTTTTCTTGATGGCATCCCATAACTTCTATAGGTTTTCTTCATTCTTCCTTACTCTTTTTTCTTTGTACTCCTCTGACTATGTAATTTTAAATGTCTATCTTTGAGCTTACTGATTCTTCTGTTTGACTTAATCTTTTGTTGAAGCTTTCTATTACATTTTTTAGTTCATTTCATTGTATCGTATTTTTCATCTCTATGATTTCCATTTAGTTTTATGTTTCTATTTCTTTATTAGATTTCTTAATATGTTTGTGTATTGTTTTCTAAACTTCATTTAATTTTCTACCCTTTTTTTTTGTAATTCACTGAAATTTTATAAGAGGATTATTTTGAATTATTTATCAGTCATTTTATGCATCTCTATTTCTTTAGAGTCTTTTATTAGAACTTTATTAGGGTTTTTTGTGTGGTGTCATAATTTCATCATTTGTAATCCTTGTGTCATTGCATTCATGTATGCACATTTGAGGAGAAAGTAGCCATCTTTTCTGTCATTTATAGGTACTCTTTAGCAGGGATAGACCTTCATTATTTAACCTAGTCTGGGATTATGGATAGACTAGTTGGTAATGACTATAGGTAGTCAGAGCTTAGTGTTGAGTTCTGTAGATGAAGTGTGCCACTATATTTCTCCTGAGGTTGTGTAGGGCTACATGTTTGGGTCTCCTGGCCAGTAAGACCACATGTTGCCTTCTAGATCCTTAAGTGAGACCTTTTAATTGAATCCAAATTTTATAGAATAAATTATTTTATTTTCATTAATACATTTTTGTTTGTATTTTGTTTTTATTTTATTTTTAAAATGAATGTATTTAAAATACCAAAGAAAAAATACATTTTAACAAAATAGTCCTCCTAGATTGACCGGCACAATTAGAATATTAGTGCACAATAAGGGCTAAGTTGATGGCTACTACCCTCATGATTTAGTTGTAACATCCCCCGCGTGACAACTGGCACTACTTCTGCATGAAGCTGGTTGAAAAGACTTTATGAGGGTCAAGTATGCCAGTGTGTTATTAGATTTTAACAATGGTATACTATGTTTCGGTTTGAGGCAGAATTTGTGAATAGTTGTATAGCTCAACAGTTTTGTAATTCTGTCTATCTTTTATCTGTCAAAGAAGACCAAGAGAATGCTGAAGAAAGAGAACTAATTTTTTTAATAAAGATTGGGAATTGCAATATTGTTAATAACTTGTTTCTGCTAAAGATAAGATAATTTGCTTGCTTTGTGATACTATAATATCAACATTAAAGAAGTTCAATGTTCATAAGCATTAGAATCCTCATAAGTACCACAAATATTTTAAATTAGAAAGAGAGGTACAAAAGGTTGTATTGCATAAATTAAAAGATGGAAAGCAAAGACAATTCTTTCAAACAGCAATAATGCCACTGAAGCAACTAACATAGTTTATATACTCAGGAAATAGGAGAAACCATTC